CATGGTCAAGGCAACTGATGACCCTATTTACTTTTGTTTGTATACAGAGGTCAAAGTGCTTATGCCATGGACCACAGGGACTGTGCATGGACAATGTTGAACTGCTGCAATCGTTGAGCACTAGATTACCATTTACATGTACATTGTATTGTTTCTATGTGGAGTGGTAGTTTAGCGACCGATGACTGTCACAACTCATTCCAACACTGTTTGTGTACAGAGGTCAGGGCACCTATCCCTCAATGTCAACCTATTTTTTTTTATGTACAGAGGGTCAAGGACAAAAGGACATTCATCAATCACAACAATGTTGAATCCTACCAAAACTTCATATACACCGTTACATTTATAATTAGCCCCGGATAATAAGCATATGAGACGCATTCGATCTTTATTGTATGATCGGTAAAGTTGAAGAGTAAACCATAAAAGTGCGCCAGTTTATGGATATCGTGACTTATCGTGATAACGACTGATAAAATACACGTAAAAAGTAGAACCTAGCATAAAGCATAAACTAGTACTTCACTATAGGCTTAATAATCACAGTCAACCAGCAAAACTGCTGTGTCACCGTATCGGCATCTTCGCCGGGTGATAGTCGGTTAGCTGATACATGGAACTAATGGATGATACAAGTACCCGCACAGGACGTTTCACTTGGGGGAAAACGACGCCGACTAAACGATGGGTCAATATTTCTGTAATAATACTAAAAAATGGTTGATATATTTGTACCTACCTCATAGTTAACCTTAGTAATGGTTTCTTCGCCTTCCATTGCCGTGGCAGTACTGGCGTGCTTATGAAATATGGTTGGTGTGCGGTCGTCGACAGATAGAAGGCGGGTTTTACTTTTCGTTGCCTTCTTCCCAGCCAAGCTATGACACTGTGGTACAATAGTCCTATTTCGCATAATCCAACAAAGAGTTTTTAGCATCACCATGGATTTATAAAGGTCTAAAAATACAAGGATTAAAAAAAATCAGTCAGCTGATTGCATTTCTCTCCGTATTACGATTTGACCGAAGTATCATGTGGCAGAGATGCCGCGAAATATAGCGCAACCGGAAGTGAAGTTCGATGAACTTTAGTTTCATACTCCTCCTACATTAGTAATAATAATGAATAGTTTCCTTTGCTGATGTTTTGATCGAAATCGTAAAATTTTATATATCATGATAACAAGATATATTGTGTGGCCTAGTTGATTATTACAAGTTAATCAAAGTCGTTGTATTAACTTTATTAATACATTAAAAATATTAATCTGTACGAGGTTGTGGATCAGGTCACTTACTGCGCATGAGTAGAAATGGCCAAAGAAAATGGAGACCTTCCAAAGAAAGTTGAATAATCTGGAAGCGCGATTGAAAGCCGAGAATGAGACCAAAAAACGCGAACGTCCCACCATAGATTTTGGACTAGGCGGTCAAAGAGAACGTAAACCATTCCCAGGTAAATTTTCAGCTCGATGTATAAGGTGGTTTTTGAGAAAATCACCGTGTACCTGTGTGACAATTTCTTTGTGTTTCTGCAAGACTTGGTATAATTATGTTGATATTTATCAACGATTGTCATAATGACATCTGTAGATTTAATCAGCGCTTATTACACTTTCTTAAGTAACGTTGTAACATAAAACGATAATCGGATCCAGCGAAACTCGTTGACACGCATTCCAGTAATGTTCACTCCTCAGAATCTTCACTGATTTGAGAATGCATGTCATAAGACAATAATTAGCATTTTGTAAATGGGAAGCTCTGGCATTGCAACCTGAAGTCACGTGACATTGTTATGATTATCTAGTTTTCTGTTTCCAATCATGACTTGTGAACAGCAATGGATTTAGCAGTACAGGTATTGTGGCATGTGTTGGTGATGTTTGTTCTAAAAATAAATGGGGAATTCCCACCTGGAGTTGCATTATTGTACTTTGGACACAATAAATACATTGCATCTCTTTTTTTATGAGTATCTATAAATTTCACAGAGTTAAGAATTCAAATTACATGTTTCTGTTGGCCGATAAAATGTTAGAAAATTTTTTAAATGATGTCGTTATTCACTGCACTTGTTGGTTGGATTCAACTGCCATTGAAATTTATTAATATTTATAAAAATGAAGGAGATAAATTTGTCAATAGTATTATATTGGTAACTCAAATCTGAATAGTAATATTCACACACAAAACAGAACCTATGATATATTCAATGTTGTTTCTACTTTTTTCAGCGATTGTTTGGCAATCTTTTTATAGTGACATTTTTTCTTCATATCTCAAATTTTTGTTTGGTGACAAAATGAAATATTTTTAGGCAGGGCTCTAGAAGGAGTACCTACAATTTATGCAAATCTTTTAAAATTATGCTAATTTATTCATGACTTAGCAGTTTCTGTGCTCATGAATATTCATTAATTTGTGGGTCAATACATTTTAAAAGGGGCGATATATTATTTTTGGAGGAAGAGTTAGAAAGGGGGATTAGTAATCCTTTGGGGGTCAATACAAAAGAAGGGACCCATTTGGAGAGCAGCCATGCTCCTCGTGTCTGTTGTTGCACGTGACCTACAGCTGTCAACTGTGTTCGTTCTTCGACGACTTTGACTGGCTTCCATGTGGGGTGGTATTCTTGTGTTCTGTTTTTCTGACTTGAGTTTTTGAATCCGCTGTTTATGTTTTTAACGTCTTTCATGTCTTTTGTACATGTAGGAGTGTTCAATCCGTGATTCGAACTTGCGATCTTTGAGTTCCCTGCGCACTGTCTTGTCCACTGTACCACGAGTGTTTTCACACAAGAGATAGGATTTAAGTCCTATTCATAGGAGCACTATCTACACTAGCATTCAAAAATCTAACTAAACATACTGGATTCGAACCAGCGATCGCTCACATTGCTGACATAGTACAAATCAACTGAGCTAGTCATGCAAATTGAATAATTTGTTGTCATACTAGTACCGTAAAAACCCGCAAATAAGCACCACCCTCAATTAAGAGCCACTCAGTGAAAATTTGTTACATTTGACCCTCCATTAAGAACCACCAAGAGTTGAGTGGTTTTGTCAATAAGAACCCTGTAATAAGCGCCAGCCGCCCGGTTGTTTACAGCCTCACTTCCACCTGCATTGTTTATTGCCCCACAGGAGGTGTGAGACAAATAAAGATTATCCCCATAACTTGCCTGATGTCCTGTGTAATTGAGAACAGAAGAATGATAGACGAAAGAAATGCACTGAGAGCGTGAATGTGACTGTCAACTTGTCCATTTTATATTTCTGACACACAATCGACCAATTCACAAACTATTCAGTAGTAACTACTAGTATGTTTTTTGCCGAAACACCGAAGGACACGTTGAGATATTCATTGTCAATGTTGTCTTTATAACCAAGTAAAGAACGTCACGATTTTAGAACGCCTTTATCGGAAAATCGGAGGTATCGAAAATACATTATCACAGACAGACCGGAACAGGAAGTCAGCAGAAAACAAA